GGAAAAGAATGAAAAAAAAAATTGTAAAACGCCTTTAATCCAAGAAATATCTAAGGTGGGGCCCACGAAATATATTTAAGAAAAAATTGTTTTTTTTGTTTTTTTCCAAATTCTTTTTCCATTTAAAAAAAACCCATAAATCAGAAATTTGGAAAAAAAATTCCGTTTTTTTAAATTAAAAATTAATTTCCACGTGGCATGTTGTGATTGGGTCATTCAGAAAGGTAAAGTAACTTAACGGCCACGTCAGCAAAATTGACGGTCCTGTTTAACATAGGGACTAAATTGATCGTTTTTTAATAATAGAAGGACTAAATTAACAGATTTCATAATGGAGGGACTGAAATGATCTTTTTTCGATAGTACAGGGACTATTTAGGTTCTTTGACCGAAAAAATTATTTTTTTCTTCATCTTTTGCAATTGCAAATGGGAGCCATAAAATGATAAGAAGATAAGCTTAAAGCATGAAAATTATACATCAACTTTAATATTAGTAAATAAAATGCAGACATGCGTAATTACGTCATTTGGGAAAGTTTTCTTGTCTTCCCCTTCCCCCTCTTTAATTTAATTTGTCCCTTATAGACACTCAACTTTAATATTAGTAAATAACGCCAGAAATGCGTAATTAGGTCATTAATTTGGGGAAGTTTTCTTTTCTTCCCCTTCCCCCTCTTTAATTTAACTAGTTTTTGTGCCAGCGCTACATTGCGGGCTAGGGAGCTCGACGTCTGGTCATGGTTAATAGAAGTGTAGGAGTTTGGCAAGAAATTGATATAAAAGAAACACTGTGAATAAATCAAGGGTGCATATGAATAATTGATTAATATGTTATTAATATGGGAATGGTACAACTAACATAGATTTGTATTAGGAGACTAATTCTAATTGGACATATTAATCATTGGCCGGGAAAGAAACAAAAGGAAAAAAAGAAAATTCAATACTTGATAGCATGTGCAACTTAGGGGATAGTTTATATGTTAGTTTTGAGATGAACTCTCTCAATTCCCCTCCTCCTCCTCCTCCTCCTTCTTCTTCCTCTGGAGTTAAGGAAATCTCTGGTGAAGAAACCGATTTACTTCAACGCAGCACAAAACGAATCAAGGAGTCGGCCGATACTATGGAATTGGTCTTTGAAGACGACTCAAATGAGATTGCCAATTCTACGCAGACAATCCCACTTACCAGCTGCGTTCCTCCAACCCCCTCGTACAGAAGCATGCTCACTAATGAGGCTGAGGGAAACTCCATCTCTTTTACCCCTCGTTCTCAGTTTCTTAATGAAGATTCAGATGTTGAGGAAGACAACGATGATAACATCCCTGTCATCCTCCTATCCAAAGCTGAGAAAATCAGAATCAGGCAACCTTGGCTTAATTCCATAATCATCAAAACTTATGGGAAAACTGTTGGATATAATTATTTATATCCCAAGATTAAAGCTCAGTGGAACCCGCAGGGTAAAATGGAGTGTATTGATTTAGGATATGATTTCTTCCTAATTCGTTTCCAACTTGCAGGGGACTACAACAAGGTCTTCTTTGGTGGCCCCTGGTTCATCGGACCCTATTTCCTCTCTATGCGGCAATGGGAACCAACTTTTGATGCAAGCAAAGCCACATTCAATCATGCTGCAGTTTGGGCAAGACTCCCGGGACTCCCAATTGAATTCTATGATCACTCAATCTTGAAGAGGATAGGAAATCAACTTGGAGTCCTAAGGAGAATTGATGCGAATACTGCTAGCAACGCTCGGGGGAGATATGCCAGAATCTGCGTTCAAGTGGACCTTGATAGGCCTTTACTTCCTAGAGTCAAGATTGGGAATTACTCCTAAAATATCCTTTATGAATCAATTGCTGGTCTTTGTTTTTCGTGTGGTTGTATTGGCCATAGTTCGCAGAAGTGTCCCACTAAACCTAATGATTCCAATTTGAATGTGCAGAATTCCACTTCAGAGCAGAATCATAATCCCCCATCTCAGATGCAAGTGGAAACGGTGGACAATTCTGGCCAATCCAACAGTGAATTCGGCCCTTGGATGGTGGTGACACGCCGGAAAAAGAAAGACGTCGGGAAACAGCCTAAACCGGTTCAAGCTCAAGGATTCCATAAAATCCATTCTGGTACTGGGCCGCATCACTCTAAGGACAGGCCCAACCTAGCCCAACGCAAAAAGAATCCTACTAAGGCTAGTTCTAATCCTTGTCCCTCGAGTAGCCCTAACGTTACGGCTGGCCCTCCTCCTAACCGTTCTGACACCAATCCCGTTCAAACGGCCCCTTCCAACGTTTCTTTGTCTTCTCACCACCACTCTTCTAAGACTTTTGACAAGACTCTCTCCCTTCTGCCACGCCCCCATCAATCTTCTAAAGCTGATAGTAGAAATGTCAATCAAGACAGTCCTTCTCTGTCTAATGGCAAGGGTATTGCTTCTTCGGTCACGAATTCCCTTTCTTCGAGGCATTCTAGCCCAAGTCTACCCCCCGTTGATTCTGAAATCGCCCCTTCTCCTTTGACCCCCCTCTCGCAATCTGCCAGCCATGGAAACCCCAGAGATGCAGTTTTACTTCCTCTTCATGGGAAAGGCCATCTCCATGGAACAAGCAATCCGTCAACTACTCCAGACGGAACCGAGCAACTCCAACAACCAGATCCAGATCCCGCTCAGTGTAGCTTGGGAAAAGATGGTGGCAGTTACGGAGGGAATCGACCCAATGGATCACCTGAACCTCCTAGAACCGGAAGAAGCAGACGACGAGAGCCCAATGTCGGAAGAGGCAAAAACAAACCTGTTGAAAAAGCTGGTAGCGGAGGAGTTCAGAGAAGCCAAGATGACCGTTTTTGCCGAAGTCGAAGCCCCAACCAAAGAGCCTTGGACTGTAAGCTCACTGAAGAGGCTAATAATCAATCACGAACTCCCCTTCATGAAACTGATGGTGATCCCCAATTTCATAAGAAAGATCAACGCTATCGGTCAGTTCTTCACAGAGCAAGAGTCTCAGGAAATGACTCACAATATAGTCATTCTCCCCCAGTATCACCCAGAGGCGAATATGCTCTGGAAGCACTCGACCACAGGGGAAGTCTCGGCGATCCCGGAGCTTGCTAGATGGTGGTTGGGGAAAAATGTACCTTCTTCTTTTTCTATGAAGATATTAGTATGGTAGAGGGGCTGCCAGCCCAGAATTCAAAAGGAACTTCTTGGAACTCAAGCGAGTCCATCAGCCTGCTGTTTGCTTTATCTCGGAGACTCGAGTCTCTGGGGAACAAGCTAATAGGCTTTGTGCCAGCCTTGGCTTTGATGAAAGCCACATCATCAACGCGAGGGGTTTCTCTGGAGGCCTCTGGATGCTGTGGAATCCTGGAATGGTTAAGGTCAATCTGCTTCCACATGGTGATCAGGCCATTCATGCTACTATTGAGGTAATTAACAACCATACTCTCTCTTTCCCTTGGCTTATCTCTGATATCTATGCTAGTCCTAGGTTGCAGAATCGTAGACTTTTGTGGGAAGAGTTAACTACTATTAGTCGTAACCATAATGGCCCTTGGGCTATTATGGGTGATTTTAATGATATTATTGCTGAGCATGATAAATTTGGTGGTGCCCCTTTGAATGCTTATAGAGCTAGACTTTATCGTGAGTGTATGGATGAGTGCAATATGATTGATCTTGGGTTTATTGGCCCTCGCTTCACATGGGCTAATGAACGTAGAGAAAGTGGCTATATCTTGCAAAGATTGGACAGAGTCTGGGCTAACCCCCAATGGCGTACTAATTTCCATGAAGCTCTGGTGAAACATCTCCCTCGGACTCATTCTGACCACAACCCGCTGCTGTTGGATCTTTGCCATGTCTCTGTCGTTGGTTCTAATAGGCCTTTTCGCTTTGAGTTCTGTTGGTTCACTCATCCAGATTTTTCTGAGTTTGTTAAGACTACTTGGAACAGAGATAACGCTGACCTTGACTTGAGAATCCAACTTTTTCAAGAAGAAGTCAAAAAATGGAACACTGATGTCTTTGGAAATGTGTTCCATAAGAAAAGAAGGTTAGAAGCTAGATTGAAAGGCATTGAGAAGAGTTTGGAAAACCATTTTAACCCTTTTCTCCTTGATCTGCAAAAAGACCTTCAAGATGAATTCCAAATTGTGCTTAAGCAAGAGGAGGAACTGTGGAAGATGAAATCTCGAGTGGATTGGATTGTGGAAGGGGACAGAAACACTCGCTTTTTCCACACTACTACTGTTGTTAGGAGAAGGAGGAATAGAATCTTAACCCTTAAGGATGAGGTTGGTAACTGGTTTGATTGTCCCGTTACCATCAGCTCCATGTTGACCAATCACTTCATTAATTTGTATTCCACTTCCCTGTCTGCTGTCTCCTTAAATCCGCAGCGGAACTGGTCTCCTTCTAGACCGATCATCGACTGCAGCCTTCACTCCTCTCTTAATTTTATTCCTAGCCCTAAAGAGATTAGAGATGCCCTATTCAGTATGAAACCTCGCAAGGCCCCTGGCCCCGATGGTCTCCACCCGGGTTTTTTCCAAAAGTGTTGGTCTGCGGTGGGGGCTTCTGTTTGTAAGGAAATCCAGCAAGTTTTCATCTCTGGTGTTGTGCCTTCCGCTTGGAATCAGACGCTCATTTCACTTATCCCTAAAGTGAAGTGTCCGGAGACTGTTACTCATTTTAGACCAATTGGTCTTTGTAATTCTGTTTACAAGATTATCACTAAGATTATTATAAACAGAATCAGACCCCACCTTCAGCAACTCTTAAGCCCTCACCAAACTAGCTTCATACCGGGAAGAAAAGGCGCTGATAATGCCATCATCATCCAGGAAATCATTCACTCCTTTAAAAAGAGAAAAGGACAGGTGGGAGATATGCTCATCAAGATTGACTTGGAAAAAGCTTACGACAAGCTTGAATGGAGCTTTATTTACGAGACTCTGTAGTATTTCAACTTCCCTGCTCATTTAATCCAAATCATTATGTCCTGTGTCTGTGGAGCAAGTCTTACTCTGCTTGTCAATGGTAGCAAGACTCAGACTTTCTCTCCTTCAAGGGGCATCAGGCAAGGGGACCCTATGTCCCCTTACTTATTCATTCTCTGTTTAGAGCATTTATCTATTAAGATCAATAAGCAAGTGGAGGACAGGAAGTGGAAAGTCTTCAAGATCAACAGAAGAGCCCCGATTATTTCCCATCTCTTCTTTGCGGATGATCTGATCTTATGCGCAAAAGCTTCTGTCAATAATTGCAACATCATCAATACTGTTCTTTCTGATTTTTGTGCTGATTCTGGACAAGTTATCAACCATGCCAAATCAAAAATTTTATTCTCCCAAAACACTCCGGTGGAAGACAGAGCTAGCATTTGTGGATCCCTTAATATTCACGAAGCTGATGATTTTGGTCTCTATCTTGGATTTCCCATTTCCCATTTGAAACCCAAAAGAGCTCATTGTTCTCATATCATTAATAAGATGAGTTCCAAATTGGCTGGATGGAAGTCAAAATGCCTTTCCTTTGCAGGCAGAGCCACTCTTATCAAATCGGTTATTGACTCCACCTCTAGCTACTATATGCAAACCCTCCCTCTCCCTGCTTCTGTGCACAACGAGATTGACAAGATGAGCAGAAACTTTCTTTGGGGAAGCACCTCTGAAAAGAGGAAAATCCATGCGGTAAATTGGGACATGGTCACCAACTCCAAAATGGATGGAGGTCTTGGGATCAAGGCAGCTAAACACCTCAATGACTCTTATATGGCCAAACTTGGCTGGGAAGTCCTTACTAATGATAACTCTGATTGGGTCAAAGTTCTTCGTGCCAAATATCTGTCTTCTTCCCATGTTATTAAAAATGGTTCTCCTCTTTGGAAAAGTATTTCCAGGAATTCCAACATCCTGGACAAGGGTCTCAAGTGGAACATCAAGGATGGGAAAAAAGCTAGCTTTTGGAATGATAATTGGATCGGCATGGGACCCCTCAGGCATACCATTCATGGCCCTCTTAATCTTAATGATAGCAGCCTCCTTGTCTCGGACCTCATCGATGAGAATGGAAACTGGGATCTTAGCTCTCTCTCTTTTCATCTCCCTCAGGAAATTCAACATGCCATCAGAGCCATCCCTGTCCAACATCATGGTACCAGCAGCGATTGCTTGTGCTGGAGCCCCTCCTCTGATGGCAAATTTAAGTTGGCTGATGCTTACCAAATTGCCAAAAAGGGGGATCACAATGTGCATAATAACTGGAGTTGGATTTGGAAAGTGCCTTGTTATCCCAAGATTCAACATTTCATCTGGATTTTAAGACATCAGAGACTGGTCACTAGGTGCTATTTAAAACACATTGGTGTGTCTCCTGATGATTCTTGCCCCCTTTGCAACCAACTCCCAGAGACCCTTGACCATCTCTTTAGAAGTTGCAATGCCGCCTCTTCTATTTGGAATCAGCTCAACCCTCCTGCTGCCTGTTTTTCTTCTGGTGATTTCTCTTCCTGGTTGGAATCTAACTGCAGAAACTCCAAACCTTCTGACCATTTTGGTATCCCTTGGAATGTCATTTTTCCAATTGCCATCTGACAAATCTGGATCTTAAGGAACAGCAAAATCTTTGACTCAAACAAAGTGTGGACTGATCCCATCACTTTCATCATTAATGCTGCTGCTGAGTTCTTCGCTCTCTTGCCTCATCAGTACAGCAAAGTTCCTACTAAAAAACTCATCAAATGGGATCCCCCCCCTCCGGGCTTTTTTAAAATCAACACTGATGGATCCTCCTTGGGCAACCCCGGCAAGGCTGGTGCTGGTGGAGTTCTAAGAGACAGCAATGGCTCCTTCCTCAAAGCTTTCTGCAGGAACCTGGGAGTAGCCACTTCTGTCTCTGCTGAACTTTGGGCCATCAGGGATGGCTTGCAACTTGCTGTGGAGCTTGACCTTCACAATAGAGTCATCCTTGAAAGTGATTCAATGGTTGCCTTGCAACTTATTGAATCAAATACTGATCATACCCATCCTAATAGTTGCATCCTGTCTGATTGCAGGTGGTTGATGAACCAGCTGGGGATTCTTCGACTGAACCACACCCTGAGGGAGGGCAACCAAGTTGCTGACCAACTGGCTAAGGCAGCCACTTCTCTGGAGCAGAATTTCTATATCTACAATGCTGTTCCTAATTTTATTTCAAACCTTTTACTTGCGGATTTGATGGGAACGTACTTTCCCAGAACTGTCTTTGTTGGGAGTAATTCCCAAACTCCTTCTGATAGAACTACTTTTGTTGGGAGCAATTCCCATGCTTATTTTGACATGGCTTCTTTCAATACTTCTGTTGATGAAAGATTAGCCCATGATGATGTAACTGTTACTTAACTTCTATGAAGTCGTGTTCTTACCAAAAAAAAAAATGTGCAACTTAGGGATGAAGAGGTGGAAATAAAAATAATGTCAGCGGAATAGGTACATAAAGGGGAGGGGGCGGGAATGGTTGAGATAGGTGGAACCAGGGGGCGTAGCTACACTTAGAGTAATGGGGTCAATTGACCCCACTCAAATTTGGGAAACCAAATATATATATATATATACATATATATAGAGGTAAATAAGGTAAATTTACAAATTGAACCCACTTGAAAGAAAATTTGATAACATTGACCCCATTAAATTGAAAGTATCACATTATTGACCCCACTAAAATGTTTAGATATTTTCACTTTTAGCCCATACTATCAAATATATCCATATTTTATCTCGATAATTTCATCTTAACATTTTATAAGGACTTTATTTATTGTTTAAAGTATATAAAATTTCTAAATTCATATATTTAAAACTATGTTTTCTTCTTCCAACTTCCTTTTCTTACTAGCCCTTGAACCCATGCTCTAAAAGCTTAAATGTCAGCCATTTAACCGTCCAAGACAAGAGAAGAACTGATTATATTCATATATTTACATACATGAAATATAATACTATTCTTTTTAGTATATTTTTTCTTTAACTTTCACGAGTAAAAAAATTACTCACATTGTCTCATTTAACTGTCCACTTATAGTCAAATTCCATATTCATTTTTGACTAATATTTATAAAAATATGTAGAACTCAAAAGTTTATGTTTCAAGGATTATACGTATTATTTTAAATAATTAATTTGATTTATATATATTTTTTAAAAATGGTCAAAGATGATGTTGGTTGACTGAGAATGGTTAAATGGGATCAGGGTAATAAAATCTTAATTTTTTTGATAAAATTCTATTTTTTTTATATAAAAAAGCAAAATTTTTAAGTTCTCACTTCACACAAATAAGTTAGACATATTATATAATTTTTAAGTAATAAAAATATATAAAATACTAAATAAATAATAAATTAAAAAATGTAACAAAAATACCTCTAAAAAAAAAGAAAATGCAACAAAAAAATGTACTATACAATTTTGACCCCACTCAAGCATACTCCTGGCTACGCCACTGGGTGGAACCACTATTCAAACAGTTGGGCAACACCATCAAACATCACCCCCTGCAGATGGGATGGCCAGCAACACCCTTCTCAAGCAACTAAGATTTACTCCATAAATGGAGATAAAATCATTGTGAACAACAATCCTTCTGTATCTCCATGATGTCATAAATATAGGATTCTTTTTTTTTTAAGATCAAACAACAAAGGCATAAATTGAGCTTCAAATTGTCATATTTAATAGTACTAATATATCATGTTCCTTTCAAGGTCAATGCTAATGATAAGTGCTATAGTTTATAATGCATAGTAAGACTAAAAATTGCTTAGTTATGGAGCTTTGAGATATCTGTCTTCAATTTCTTTGGCATATTAATGACTTGCATGTACGTGGAATTTAAAATAATAAAAAAAAAGATATTGCAAAACAGTGGAGGAAGTTGCTAAAACTTGAAGGCTCATTCAAGTAGCTAAGACCTCAAACATTGGTCCAAGTGAAGTGACTTCATCCTGGTGCCTTGTGTTTCATGTAATTCAGCTTCTCTATTGCAGCAATCTGCTCTTCACATATGGCTACTTTTACAATATGTGTCAAAATGTTTACCAGCACCAAATGATTATAAGAAAGAGGTCAGCAGATTAGTAGTTGTATGAGGTAGAAAACAAAACAGTGGAGGAAGAGATGTGATAGTCTCAATATATGTAAAGTTCTTAACAGGTAGTAAATCTCTCTTTTTAGACAGCATAGCAACATCAATCAAAGAGAACCATCCCTCAAATTTCTTCCCAAATTCTTACCTACCTAAGGTAGTTCTATGAGAATCATAGATTAGTTCCCACTATTGGAACCAAAACAAACTTAATATTACCAAATCTCGATTCTGACAGCCAAACAAAACAACTTATATTGTACTAATCCAGTTTCAACAGTTTATATGGTACTAATCCTAATAAAACAACCAAATTTCAAGTAGCTTATCTAATCCTTAAACGAACGGAAAATAAAGGAAAGAGCTGCCAAATCCACCTTCAAAAGTGGAAAAAGCTGCTCAAGAGTATAATCATTGTGTAAGAAAGTATGTCAGGTCTTTAAACATAGCATGCTACAATCAAAAACCACTTATCAACCCCATTAAAAACAAATGGTAGAAAGATAAAGAAACAATGATACCTGACTTTAGTTCCTCGAACCAAAACATGTAAGCTGCGTTATTTAAATGATGCCCTTCCCACATTAGAGCTTGCCAATATAATGGACACCAACCTGAACCAAAAGAAAACAGATTTGGTTCAACTTATATTTAAATAAAAAAAAATCAAGTCGACTGTAATTAAGGTTCCAACTTCCAATGTCAAAAATATTGGAACAACACCATGATCAAATACAATCTTCATGTTCACACAAGCTCCAGAAGCAATGTTTGTAAGAGCAGAGGCCACCTCAAACTACAGAAACAATAAATTACTCAGAGGTTCTAAAGATTTTTAAAGATATGAAATGCTGGAACAAATGTTGAATCTGTGAGAAAATCGAACCTAAAGTTGTGGAGAAATCATCAAGCCACCATCAATTAGTATCCTCTAAAGATGATAAACTATTTTCACTTGTTCTTTCAACCTCAGAATCACAAAGTTGTTCAATTTGAGGTTGACCATAATGACTGAACATTGCATTCATTAAAATGCCATCACCAATATTTCATTAAAAATAGAATTAAATTCGAATTAGCTTAACAACACTAAAGGAAGAAAGTTTGATTGTAGAAAAGCATGGTCTTGCACATGTAGCATCAAATCAACTAATAAAATGCAACCTGGAACTAATTATTAAACCAAAAAAAGGTTTTTTAGCTGCTCATACATTGTAAAATGTACAAGCAAAAAAATTGGAATGAGTCAAATTCGAGCAAGCACCAAAAAGAGAGTGAAAAAAAAAACACCTATACTTAATGACAAAAAGGCATTTCAAGCATTACGGAAGCAAAAAATCTGAATAATGTCAAACTCATATCTAAACAGTAGGTAGCTTGTCTATCTTTTTGAAATTTCGACCACAAAATCCTAAAAAGTAGAATCCAAACTTCTCCAGAACAATATTATGTTCTATACAGAATCCAAACTTCTCCACAGGTTTAACATATGATGGAAATAGGTTTTTTTTTATGTATATGCAAATCACGACTTTACCCAAGTTGTGAAGAGTATGGAAGATATAGAATTTGACAGACTATCAGACTACCTGATCAAATAAATAAGCAAAGATAAAAATGACTGTCATTTGGCTAAATTACTTTCATCTTCTTTCCAATTTACCCACACTTACTTTGTTTTTAGTCCCAAAAGTTATCACTCAATAATGCAGATAGTTAAGGTTCAAAGTTCATAGTTCATACCTTAACATGGATGCTCCAAATGCATCTGCAAATGAAATGTGATCTTCCATGTTTTCCATTGCAAACCCAGCCCATCAGCTCTCAATTTCCATATCCTCAAAGATCCATTCTCTTCAGTGAACCCTGCAGCACGGGCTTCAGCAAAAGAGCAAGTGCCTCAGGCTATAAAGCCCCAAACTCCCTTCTGCTTATAATTTCCTAGAAGTGGCAAGAAAATCAGTCTTCCATATTAGAAGAGAAGCAACAAACCAAAAAATAAAAAAACTGGTCAATATAAGGCCTTGTCTAAACGAATATAAGTCAAAGGCCCGATGTCAGATTATAGGGCTACAGCCGCGGGCTTGGGTTCTCTAATCTGGTGATGGATAAGAAGTATGCAGAAACTTTAAGATGATGCCATGCTGTAGATAGAAAAGATATTTGAATACGAAATATAAAAACGATATTGTGCTCATTCATCGCAACAACATGCAAGAATTTAACAATGTACAAAATACCTATACATAACAATGCACGAAATGCCTTGCGCTACGCTGAAGTTTAATAACCGCATGTTTGAAAATTGTTAGTGATTGTATAATGCTGAAAAATTATTGAATATGAAAGGGTAAAAAAAACCATATAATTTACAATGTGATTTGTATTTAAACTAATTGAAACAATATTGGAGTTTCATTTTAAAGGGTAATGGATATTCAATGGTACACATTATTGTTAATAGATAATAGTACAAATATAGATGGAGAATAATTATTCTATCAACCGATAATAAACAACATAACAATCATAAAAAACACTTTAGGAAGTCCCATAATAAACACAAATTCCTTATTTATGATTCATTCTACATACCATTGAACCTTTCACTCCCTAACCTTAATGGCCACAAGAATGCTATCTCCTCCCTCAATTCTCCTGATACGTTCTCCTCCAAGCCTCGTCCTCCGCTGAAAAAAACCCTCTGTAGCTACGCTCTGTCCCCAGCACCTCCACTCTCTCCCCTATCCGAAAATTCTCTGACCAAGTTGGTCTTCTCCTATGTGAAAAAAAAAAAATAGAGACGAAAACTTAGAGAATTTTCCTTCCACCCCAATAATGAATCATCTCTCCTAAAAAAATTATGAATAATCTATTACTTTAGGCCGGATTTTCAAGGAGAAAAAAAAAGCCCAATGCTTTTGAATGGTCTGTATAATGTCCAATGAGCTTATAAATTCTATTGGAAATCTGTTTTTGATATGGTAAAATGCATTTAACTAAATTTTCAATTATTTTATTGTTGTATAATTAATCGGAAACAATTTAAACAATACTTTATCTCAATTATATTCTGAAAATTCATTATAAAATCCCTTATTTGTAATCAGAAACAACTTTGTTATGAAACTATATAAGAAATAGGAAACAGGAAAAGGAAGGTAAGTAGAACATATGAATCAACCTTCTTATATATAATAACCATAAGTCAATACTTTCATACATAAATTGAAAAAATTGTCTGGGATCTGATAAC